GCAGCCCTATTGTCGTCTAATGAGTGTGTTTGTTTTAGCTTTTGGGACTGGGAGAAGGGCGAGAGACTGGACTACTTCTACAACGGAAACCCTCGTTATACTCGCATCACATCCATGGAGTACCTGAACGGACACGACTGCTCACTGCTGCTCACCGCAACAGGTTTCTAACACACACACAAACACACACAAACACACAAAAGTGTGAGTTCAGAAGCACAAGTGCATCCAAGTTATCAGCGCAAATGTCCACGCCCACTGGCAACAGCAGAAATCGCAGAGAGGCTCATTTGTAGCAGCAACAAGCCTTAAACACTTGGCTGTTACGCACAGAGCACTCATGTGTAGTCATCATCATTCATCAAAAGAAGAAAGCAATTACCCTCCGTGGCTTTATCTTCATCACCCACAGGAACCGGAGAAAACAACTCGACATTAAAATACAAACACATTTATTTTGTTTGGTCTTCCTTCTGTTAAATTAAGCTAAGAAACTTTGATAAAAGGCTTCAGTATTGATAAATCTGAATTCCATCTCATCAAAAATTAATGTGCACTTATTCAGCTTTTCCCCATCACTCATGCTCTGAAGGATAGCAGGGCAGGACATTAGTTATAAAAAAGAATCAGCATTAAAAGAAGTAAAACGCAGGCTGTAAATCAAGTGGAGACTTTTATGGCCTGTAATAGCTTCCTCATAAGAGTGCACGGACGTGTTTTATCTCGGTGTCTTTGCCGTGTTTCAGCCGCAGAGGTTTTGAGGTTAGATTCCTGACTCGTTGTTTCTTTCTGGCGAGATGCTCACAGGCACAGAGCCTTTTAAGATGCTGTCTTCTTTTGAGGAGTGTGTTGACAGTCAAGACACAGTGTGTGTGAAAGAGTCTTGGTTCAGGGTTTTCATCAACGCAGTTCAACACTTTAAAGTGCATAAAGATTACAAACAGGATGCTGGTGTCTGTGCAGCTTCGTCTAGCCTCGGCGTTTACACCACGCTGCATTTTTTTTCCTGGCTCTCTCTCTTACTCTGTATCTTTCCCTCTCTCTCGTCTCTCCAGATGATGGAGCGCTACGGATCTGGAAGAACTTTGCTGACCAGAAGAATCCGGAGATGGTGACGGCGTGGCAGGGTCTCTCCGATATGCTGCCCACTACCCGAGGTCAGCCCTCCATCAGCACCCACAGTAAAGACCAATGCTCTTTATTACTGTGTCACCAAGCCATCCACAGTTCCACCCATACCCCAAAACCACAAACTGTCCCAAAGCATCCCAGTCATACTTCCTCATTGCTCCACCTACAGAGAAGGTCTGAGAGGTTTTTTTTTCTCCTTAAACTAAGTATTGAAAAATTCAATTTTATCTAAGGCTACGTCCACACGTACACGGGTATTTTTGAAAACGGAGATTTTCCATTTTGGTTTTAAAAAATAATCCCGTCCACACGTAAAGGCAGAAATGAAGGAAAACGCTGCTAGGAACATGCCAAAGCAGCAGGTGGCGCTATATTCCTAATCGTGTAGAAATGTTGGCCAATCAGAAGTCTAGAAGCATCGGCGGGAAATAGTAAACAAAGCTGGGGCATAGAAGCAGAACCGAGTCGTATGTGTGGAGGGACAGTAACTGTGTGTGTATATGTAAGCCTTTAAACACTGCAGAGAGTACAATTAACAGTAACAGTATTGTAGAAATTCATTTCACCGAAACAATAACGTGTCGCACAGTGTGACGTCAAAAAAGGCGCACACCTTTGACGCTGCGTTTTCTCCGTTTTCTCCGTTTTTCTCGTCCACACGTAAATGCAAAAACGGAGTTTTAGAAAATATCCACCCTGGCCGGAGTTTTTAAAAATCTCAGTTTTCAGTGACCGAAAACGCCGTTTACGTGTGGACGAAAGGTGCAAACACATAGAAAAATCTGCGTTTTCAAAAATTCCCGGGTACGTGTGGACGTAGCCTGAAACAATACAGCCACAGCTGACAATTACAGTAAATTACATCTAATAAAGTAGGTTAAGGTTATGTTCACACTTATATCTTTTTAAATTAAATACAGCTCAGGTTTTAGATGAATAAAAGAAAAAGTGGACTAAAATCACTCAGCACTGAAGCCTGAAGGTCGTTTTTCTTGTTTTTTACAGTGTGTTTGTTGTTTTAAACCTCAGAAATTCATCTCTGAATAAAAGGTGGCACCAATGAGAGCATTTCAGCTGCACAGTGACCCAGACCCCATCAAACCCAGCAGCAAACACTCACTCGCACAGCTTCGGTTTTAATTACCGCACATGTGTGCTCATCCCACAGAGCTGTTCAAATCACTAAAAATGTCAGATTTGAGGGGCAGCAGCCAGGGCAGAACACTTCACCGTCACTGGAAGTCCGGGAGAGTTTGTCACAAGCTGCTTTAAAAATAACCAATTTCACACAAATGCTAAATGAAAAATGACACCGCTGAAACTATATTTCCATACTTTTGCATTCGGGTTGTTTCTGCTGCTGGCGAATGTAGGTCTAATTTAAAATCCGCTGTCAGCTTCACCTCCCTCACCTTCTCACACGTTCCACATCTGTCATATATACCTGTCACACCTGAAACAGCGGGGGCTGTTTAACCTACTGCGGGCCCTACATTCCAAGTCTGCACGTAATCAATCACGAAATGCAGAAGGTAGGTATTACTCATTCTTCCCCTGTGAGACTGTCCACGTTGCTTTAGTGATCGTTATAAAACTGGGACTGTGGACGTTGGTGGATCCGCTGCCATGTTTACCTTCGCGTTGACACACTTACACACAACTCCCGAGGCGGAGATATTCACAAATGCGATGCAGGCACCCACTGTACACACCTGTCAGACACTTCCACCCACCGGTGTGTTGTGTCAGGTTGTGCACGCTCTCCTTAACTCTCTCCCCTGCTTTAAATTTCTGCCTCGAGCGTTTCTCAGCCGATACTACTGGGATGTTTTGGGGAGCAACTGTGACAGCTGTAAGAATGACTGTTTCTGAGCATAACCTGTGTGATAAATGCAGCGATTACCTACGTAGCGCTCATCCATCCGTATTAAAATGGTGCACTTTAGCACGAGCGCAGAAGTAGGCAAATTTAATGTTTGTTTTTTTTGTTTTTTTAATAAAAGCGTGTCCCATATGAGATGCGGCACCGTGTTTGGCTAATTGGCAGCAGCCAGAGCAGAGCTGTCAGATTGAGTGACTGGCTGATTCAGTGCCTGACTGCATATCTGTGCAGAAGTGTGGACCTCATGCCGTGTGCACATACGTGTTTCCGTCATTACCGAGTCACCAGAGCTCTGCGGGGACCTGCAGGGAGGAGACACACTTAACTAACACTGGTCTCTGCCTGACTCTCACGACACAAACCGCCCTGAGAAGCTCTCCGACTCTCCGACAGCGAGCCACAGCCATGTTGTCTCTGAAACTTTAACATTTAATGGTGTGCTTGTTATCCTGGATGTGTCGTCGGTGACAGGCCACTGTTTTGCAGTCTGTATGCAGAACCTAGTGAAGGCATCAGTTTTAATATAAGCAGCCACTCAGATGAGACCTCGCTTGAAAAAGTTTTACTGAAGAATCCAGCTTTGGCTTGTTGTGCTCCGAAATGTAAAAAAATAAAAAATGAACTTGGCAGTAGATCTCAGAAACCTCGGCAATCTCACGCAGACTCTGCTTTCCCTGGTGCATTCACACCCACCACCTCCTGGCCCAGTATTCAGTTCTGACTTATTACCATTGCTTGGAACGTCTTTCAGATTGAGTACAATAACGCTGTGTTTAGAATTTTTACGATTTTTAGCGTTGCCTCAGCTGCATTAATAATGTAAAACCCAATGAAATATTACACAAGTCTGTCTTCTCGCTGCCAAAATCCTGCTCTACCTCTGTAGGCAGTTGCAACAAGACTGAGCATTTCTCAAGGAGATGCTGCCAGACAAACACACACTCACACAAGAGTACCAGCAGGACCTGTCCTCACTCAACCCGCCCCCCCTCCCATCGTCCAATAACACGCTCCTGTGCTGTTTTTCATCAATGATCCATCTCTGTGGACTGTCTGGCTTTTTGTTATTTTGCTGGGTCTTTGATATTGTTTTGTGGGTCGTCGTCCCCCTCCCCCCGAGAGAGAGGCTGAACAAGGTGCACCTTCATTACTTCCAGGTGTTGTTTTTGTTATTGATCAGCCACAAACTGATGCACACTCAGCTCCACCCTTCCTGCTTTTTAACGCTGTGGTGAAGGGATCTTAGGTTCTGCGTCTTGCAGGTTCGGATGCTGGGGACGCAGTTTGTAATGCAGAGGTGGCAGCTCGGCTCAAATCTCCTTCCGCTCTTTGGCGTTGACGTGCCGCTGTTTGTCATTCGGGAGATACCACGCTGGGAAGCAGCAGCCTTGTTCATCCCTCTGCTCTTCAAGTGCATGTGGAGTAATACCCATGAAGTGGCGAGGAGTACCTACCGTCACTTCATGGGTATTTCAGCTCTGTTAGGTGTGTGTGGATGTTTGGGTTAGCATGCACAGGGGTTCTTGCTAATTTGTTGCTTGCTTTGTTACGTTCCTGCTCTCCTCCCCCTCCCCCCCTTCTCCATCTTCCCTTCCTTCCTCCATACGCTCCTCTTCCCCCTGCTCGCAGGTCTGGCCAGAAGGGTCTCCATCTATCTTGACAGGAGTAAGCAAGGAGGTGAGTGTTGCATTTCCCTTCTATTCTCCCTCACTACTAAAGCACATGTGCTGCACTAAACAGCCAAGGGTGTGTCTTTCATTTAGAAATTTCCTTTATTCCTCTAACCACTACCAGCACGCTTCATTCATTCACCTGTCTGGTGATGTTTCATTGCTCCATCCCTGACAGTCAACCCAAGTTCAGAGCATGCTCCATGAAGGAAAACTTCCACTAGCACAGACACATCCTCTTCAGAAGGCCAGCACAACCTTTTTAAAGTTGATATCAAAAGCTCTTAATTCCTACCTTCTTTAACCTTTAAATCTAATCAGGTTGTTATTTACAAACTTACAGTTTTTCCTTAATTTCAGACAAAAGTGAGAAAGCAGATTTCTGTTCCTCTAGCCAGCGACAGTTTAATGAATGTCAGATTGTAGCAGCTGTCTGCACGTGAGTCTTTTGCAATAAAAGATTCTGGTTTTCAGAGGCAGTGCACGTCAAGCAATATCAGTGTAAATAAGCCAGCGTTACCTAAACAGATAATTATGCAGATGTTAAATGAGCAGTTAAAAATCAGCCACTGCTTAAACAATCAGAACCGACACATTTGACCCACTTTGCAAGTAAACACTGGGAGATTCTTGCAGCTACATTTAGCTGGCTAACTAACCGCCCTAATCTTTAAAACTAACCAGTCATGAAAGTTTAAAAAGCTGCAGGACATGTAAATGAACTTCATGTCTAAATGGTATTATGCTAAAAAATTGAACTAAATCTCCATGACCAAGGCACAAATCAGTGACTAATGGCTGGTTAGCTTTAGACATGTTGGTTCTTTGTTAGCAGTAAGCTTCATTTTTAGTAACTTACACTGGAATGGTCTGCTGGGATATATGCAAACATCCTCAAAGTGTATGCACACTGCAGGAGACACATTAGCTGTGATCTGATTATATTGAAATATTGTTTGGCTTCTTTAGATTGTGAGGAACTGCAAAAAAGATCATCCCTAAACCCATGCATCATAACTTCAGCCACACGCACACCGCTTTGACTTGGCTAGTTATTCAGCTTTTAAATTATGGGATCCTTGTACCGAACACTCAGTTGCAGGCACATTTGCAAATGGGTGTTTGATTAACTCAGCATGTAAAATAATACTTTTACACAGTTGCATAGTCTCCAGTCACTCTTCATCGTCACCTCAAACAGCTTCTTTCATTTATTTAAAAAAAACCATGCACACACACAAATTGAATCTGGTCTCATGGGTGTCTGTGTTTAATTGGGACTATGTCTGTCTCACTGGAGGGTTCAGCCTGTTAAACTTCAGAGGAAACAGTGGAATTACAGGACTGCGGCTGGCAACTGGCTCTGAGAAGTTATTCCTGCAGCTTCTGCAGCTGCATTAGTATGCAGAGGCTGTCGCTGGAGGTAGATCTTTGTGCAGAAAACAAGAGGGATAAGGTTTCTAGGTAAAAATGGGAGAATTCTTAAGAGGGAAGGTCAGACAGGGGTTAAAAGGGGTGGATAAGTGGATAAGTAGGCGGATGGCAGAGGAGAAGATTGGAAGACAGGATAGATGGAGAGAAAAGTTGGAGATGACTTGAAAATGAGGTCATGCTTGTGTTTATTTAAGGCTGGAAGGAAGCACAGAGAGAGCAAACCAGAAATTTCTAATCAGTGTTTGTTCTGGGGTTAGATGGACTGAAGCGAACAAACGTCACATCTCTGCAGATTAGACTGAGAGCCGATCTAATTAAGTTGTGATTCATATAATTTCAATATGTTACAACACAGCTTTGTCCTTTGTTTTATTTTTATTCCTTTTAATGCCATTAGGTTTGTTTCTTTTTTCTCTCTTCTTTAATCGTCTTTCTCTTCGTCCCTTTTCTTGTAGGGCTGACCTCTCTTCTTTGGTTTTATGGAGACACGCTTTGTGTCCTGCTTTACATTCAGCCTTGCTGCCTGGGACCTTGTTAACATCAGGCCTCCAGAACCTTGTGTGAAGTTGCAGCGATACAAAAGGCCGCAGGGTTTTTGTCTGCAGCTTTTACATAAACGCACATCACAGATTTTCTCTGTTTTGTAGGTAAACACATTTTTAAAAACTACATAATAAAAAGCTAAAGAGATTATTGTCACTGCAGGATTCTACAAATGGATAACGTTTGATATAAAATTCCTAAAATATATAAATTATTATTTTTTAGATGTAAAGCCAGAGTTTATATTCAGGATCTGACGCCTCCTGCCAAGGCTGCTGTGGCAGTCAAAGTGAACTAGATCATCTTCTACAGCTGATTGGGTGCCGGAGTTTAGAAAAGCAGCCACTGGGAGGTGAATCAGGAAGATTAGCAGTGTCTGAACACCCTCACACTTTGGTTAAAGTCATCAGAAAACTTGCAAAATTGACTCGTATTTATTATATTCAAAGTATCACATTGATTATTAGTGTAAAAATATTCATTTAGACCTTTAAATACAGTATGTTGCTGTTGTATTCCTGCCTGTGAGACCTCCAGCAGCAATCCTGGATCAGAACCCATTTCCTTCAGTTATTTAAAATGGCGTGAGAACTTTATGCTAGTCTCCTCTCCCCAATAATCAGATCAACAGGTGATAATGTCGGCCGCTTAGAGCTCATTTCAGGAGGTCTGTGTCAGCCAAGCAGGTCAGAGCTCTTTCAAAGGTTAACCAAATGCCAAAGTGGGGAAGTCTCCCTGCCTGTCAGAACGCTCCCGTATCATGACATCATTGTCTATCAGAGGCACGCGCGTGCTGGGTAAGTTCCCAGTAATCTTGGAGGTTTATTACCCGAATCCTGGAAGACCTTTTCAAAGCAAACAGGATAAAGTGAGGAGATTGAAAAACGCTGAGGGAGAGAAGAAGCAGGAAGGCCTCAGCGCCAGTTTTAATGAGCTGCAGCGTGTGGGATAGTTAGGCCATCACTGGAGATAATGGTGCAGAATAAGAAGTCAGAGGAAGGCGTCTTCTCCGGAGAGGAACGATGGGAGTGAATCAAAGATATTTATGCAAAGGAATAGATAAATATCACAAATTGGGGATTTTCTTGGCAAACTGGTGCCGGAGCAGTGATGATCCACTACAAGCCTGCTGGCTGTTACTGGTGTTAAACTAGCTTTTTTTGCCCAGTTAAAGATTCAGCAAGGGGAAGGCCATCTGCGAACAACATCAGTGCTGTTTGTGACTGGGGAGGACTCAAGCAGAGAGATTGTACCTGGAAGCTATCTATGCCTCCACCTCTGTAACGTGGTCAGATTTCCAGCTGAGGAAACATTGCCCACACTCCTTTTGCCAGCTCCTTCCTTCTCACAACTCAATTCTCCCTGTCCACATTGATTTCTGTGTGGGTAACTAAGACCCACTCAGGCCCACAAAGGTTCCCTCTAAGGCCGGATGATATCCCGTTTTGAGCAGCTGAGTGTTGTCTGCAAGAGACAGAACTGAAAGGTTTGGTTTAAGGTTTCAGATCTGTGACCCTCTGAACTCAAAGTGAAGTTTTTTGACAGCTGTCAGGGAGAATTTAGCCGCTTGAAGTGGGACAGAAGGGAAGAGCTAACGCGGGAAAGACGCGAGAAGTTAGCGGGAGGAGCACCTGGGTAGAGAGGCAGAGAGATGGAGAGATAAACGAGACTGCGAGCAGGCGTACAGCTAAGTGTTCTTCGAGCGTCTCAAGCTTAATATATCTTAATTAGGACTGAAGCATCAGCTCCAGCAGGGGTGAGTGGGGGCTGCACACTGCTTCACTGCTATTTTGGGCATTGATTTTAATTCAAAAAGTGTTCCTTTATCTCTTCTGATCCTCTTTCTTTTCTAGAATGTAACAGAAGCAACAAGTCAGCCATATTTCTTTTAATCAGCTTCTTTTAGTCATCAAGTCAGTGGAACATCTGGGAAGTTTGCGCTTTGTCACTTTTCCCAGAAAGTAGTGATGTGCTGATTGATCCATTTATGTTCTAGAATCGATTCTCACATTAAAATATCGATATTTTAGTAATTTAGAGTAAATTTGTAGTTTATCATTAACAGGAGCACAGTGGAAAGAAACTATATCATTTGGATTGTCAACGTTCAAAGGAACTATTTCCTCTTCCACCTTTCATAGTCATGTATGAAATACGGCTGTATAAATGTCTCGCAGCCCCTTGGCGTGCGCACTCACAACAATGGCTGAGTGTAATTGGAGTCATGTGCGGACTTATTTTACCTCCACAAACAGCTGAGACGTGGTTTGCGATACATGTGGCAAAAAAGTGCTCCAAGAGTGAGGTGTTGTGGCCATAGTAGGGAGACATTCAAAAGAGCTGTTGGGGGGGTAAAATACATTTTACAGGGTTTATTTATCGGATAAAATACGTTAAATGTCACCGTTATTATTGGCCGGCCCGGAAACAGCGGGATTGTCCAAATTCAGAGGCTGCTTCCACCTGAGGACCCG